TTTGGCTATTTTTATTTCATTTTTGTAGCAGTAAAGTCCATTTTTATAAATTTAAAAATAAATTTGCAGTTTATATTTTCTCTCATTTCTCCAGCTGTTTCTTTTTTTGCCATCACAGCTTCTCCCTGGCGCTTTAGATGGACCACATCTATTTACAGTTATGACTTTGAATAGGCTACTACAAAAACGCCAGTTTGTTTTTTGAGCCATTCAGAGGTGTACATGTTGGTGTGTTTTCAGTCATGCTGCATAAACCAAGTGAGCTTGAGCTTCAGGGCATGAACCGATGGCTGGATGTTATCCTTCAAGATGTTTTGGTAGAAGAATTCATGGTTCCATTTACCAAAGCGAGTCTTCCGAGTCCTGAGGCAGCAAAACAGCCCAGACCATCACACTACCACCACCATGTTTGACTGTTTCTATGATTTTCTTTCTTTTTTTGAAATGCTATCAGTTTTACGCAGAGGTGGGACTCAAACCTTCCAGAGAGTTCAGCTTCTGCCTCATCAGCCCACAGAATATTTTCCCAAAAGTCTCAGCGATCATCAGGATGTTTTCTGGTAAATGTGAGACAAGTCTTTGTGTTGTCAAAGGAGCTTGCAAAGAAAAGCGTCTGGACTTCTTTAAGTTACTTGAAGACGTTTCACCTCTCATCCGAGAAGCTTCTTCAGTTCTAAGGTCAAATGGTGGAGAGTCCCAGATATAAACCTAGTGGGAGTTTCCCCCCACAGAGGGACAAAAGGACCCCCTGATGATCCTCTAATCGCCTGAGCCAAGGTGTGAAACTGGGTGTGGGTCCCAATCAGCCAGAGTTTCGGTGTGTTCATTGTGAAACCTGGCCCCACCTTATCATGCGAATTCCTGAGATCAGATGTCCCAGGATGTGAGTGGGCGTTAAGGCGTCTGGGAAGGGATCTCAAAACTGGATTATAGATGGCAGAGAGTTGGTGTCGTAAACCACCGCCTCTGTTCAAAGATGGTCGCTCACAGTGGACATTTCACTCCTTCATTTCACTCTTTCACTCCTCTTTCAAACCATCTGTCCTCTCTGTCCAAAATGTGAACATTGGCATCCTCGAAAGAGTGTCCTTTATCCTTAAGATGCAGATGGACTGCTGAGTCTTGTCCTGTGGAGGTGGCTCTTCTGTGTTGTGCCATGCGCTTGTGAAGTGGCTGTTTGGTCTCTCCAATGTAGAGGTCTGAGCATTCCTCGCTGCACTGTACAGCATACACCACATTGTTAAGTCTGTGTTTTGGCGTTTTGTCTTTCGGGTGAACCAGTTTTTGTCTGAGCGTGTTGCTGGGTCTCCTTTGACTACGATGACCTGGATGACTGAGAACCTTCACAGACAAAGTCTTTGTGTTCATTTTGGTCAGAAGTGATTTTCTACTTGAATGCCATTCCTGACATTTTTGTCCATTTTGTTTTATTGTTGATTCATGACTGTGGAACTTACCTGAGGCATGTGAGGCCTGCAGTTCTTCAGATATTGTTCTGGGTTCTTTGCCAGCCTCCTGCATGAGTCATCGCTGCACTGATTTTGGTAGGCCAGCCTCTCCTGGGCAGGTTCACCACTGTTTCATGGTTTCTCCATTTGTAATTGATTGCTCTCCCTTTGATTCACTGTAGTCCCAAAGCCCTAGAAATGACTTTTGACCCTTGACTGTAGATGTCACTGACTTTGTTTCTTAGTTGTTTCTGTAGATCGTGGCATGATGTGTTGCTTTTTGAGATCTTAGTCCCATTTCAAACAGATTCTATTTAAGTGATTTGTCTTGCAGCAATCATTTCCATTTTATGTTCACTCAGGTTATCTTTGTCTAATATAATCATTTTAAAAAAGAAGAAGAAGAAGAAACGAGAGGAGGGGGCTTTTTCATGGCATTGTACATAGTAAGTAGTAATAACAACAGAGATTCCACCAACTCACCTGTCTGTACAGGAGCAATATTCACCAATATAATTTTTCAGTCAGCTCTGCGATACCAAAATAACTAAACCAGGTATCAGCTGGAAGCTAAAAATCCAGTTTATTACTACTAATGCTGTCATTAATAATACGTCTTATTTGTTAAACATTCAAGATTAAGAAACAAATTTTAAAATGCAAGGAGTGTATTTAATGTGTATAAGAGCAGCGGGTCTTTGAGGCTTGCTTACTGGCTTGTTGCTGTTGCCTGTTGTTAATTATTCCTGTAATATGAGAAGGTGGTTTGAGATTTGCTGGATGTCATAGGGTGAAGGCCTTGCAGTGGTAAGAAAAACTAATGAAACAGTGGGCAGACGGTATATGAGGCAACAGGTTCGGTGCAGACTCTGTCAGCTGATAAACAGCAGGAAGTGGTAGAGACACTGCGATAAAATCTTTTTACAGCGTGCAAATGTTTTCAGACACACCATAAGAAATCACCCTGTTAAATTACAGTAAAGTACTCCCAGCTCTATTTGTTATTTTAAAGTTTTTGTACTATAACAGGCTCCCACTGTAAAAATTACAGTACAAACTCCCTTTCAACTACATCCCACGGCGCTCTATTAGACTTAAATCTGCTGAGATAAGGAGATATGATGTTAATATTAATAAAAGTATTATCTGCTGAGCTGTTAAACTCATTGTCATGTTCAAAAAATCAGTTGATACACCAAGTTGCCGCCATGTGATTGGCTACTTAAACATTTGCGTTAACAAGCAGTGGAACGGGTATAGCTAACAACGTGGCAACGCAGTTTTCTTCTGTGATCTCATGAAGAAGTTATTTCATGATGTTTCAGTACTTTAAATGTTTAAAAACACCTGTCCCAACACTAAACAGGGCCTTAATCATGTTCATTTAGCATGAATTCAGTTTAAATTACAGCATGATGGTGGGGGTTTCAGCTTTTGTTGTGATTCGCCTCACTGGCTTGTTGCTAGTTAAATGTCAACCGTATTCTTGTTCACACAAACACTGAAAAAAACCCACATCACATCTTCACATCAGTTAAAGTATAATCATAGCAACACTTCTAAATGAAGTCTTTGTGCTCTCCAGGGCAGAGCGTACACAGCTACAATTTCCTGCGCCTCCTTGTTCACTTCCTCACAGTAACCGTGTGCTAAATGAGACATGCTGCAACATGATTTTGCGCAGATGACTTATAGATGGAGGTAATCAAATTAAATACACTTCATTTAATTCGATTTGTGACTCACTGAAGAGGAAAAAATACTGTAAAACTGGACAGTACCAGTACTTTGTAGTTACTGTAAGTACAAAAACCAAAACAACACTGTAGAAGATTTTGTTCGTCTGTGCAGATTCAACCACAACATTGCCACAAGAAATTTTCCATTAGCCTGTACCGTTCAGGATTAAGCTAGCGCGTGAAATGTGTTGTCCTGTGTGTCAACCACACCCATCAGTAAAGCTGGATGAGTGTGAGCAGAAACTTCTGGAAATTTGTTTTCTCATTGTGTTTTTTCCTCCCTTGTATTGAATAACTCAAGTCAAGTTTATGAGTATAATTATATTAAAACAAAAAAATGAGGTGTAATTATAAAATTCAGACATCATGTTTCGTCCGTTTCTCTCTTCACTCCGCAGGGAGACCATGAATTCGCTCTCACTGGGGTGTGCTTTGGGGTGTCCTACAAATAACCTTGTTTTTCTCTCCTCTAAGTCATAACCCTCTGCACTTGACTTTGTTTATACTGTTGGCCCTAAAACTCTTAAATACTTACATATTAACTCACACTTTAACTGTAACTGACCTCGAGCCAAGCCAAACTCCCGGTGAGACGAGCAGCTCCTGTTGGTGGATTTTCAACTCGAGATGTTGCTCTGGCAGCTCTGCTCCTCTGAGGGAACGCGGAATGAAATCCCAAGGTGCTCCATTGCAGTGCACGCGTTAGTTCATGGCACTGAGCTGCAGCTCACAACCCAACACGGAAAAGGTGGATCACTGAGGGTGCAATAGTGATGGTTTGGAGAACAGTACAAGATCGAGTGGTTTAAGGGACTTTGTGTATATTTAAAACAAAACAGGTCCAGAATAGTTTGAAGGAATGTGAAAACAGAAGCTTGATATCAAGGATTAGAGGAATAAAACCAGATGGATGATTAACTTGGTGTCTATTCTTAAGCCAGCATGACATTTTTTATAACAGCTCGATGATTATTGTAGTTTTACTCAGATCAAAAACTCTTTCGTGATTTAAAATTATTTCGCCAAATTGAAAATAGAAAAAGAAAAAAGAACCAAATTGATTTTCTCTCTCATGTGCAACACAAAGGATCTAACAAGCCACATAAAAAGGCTTATCCTACTTTCCCCTTCCTAATTCTGCAGGAGCAGTGAGACATGTTTGCTTTCATTGCTTCAGAGTTTGAACAAGATAACAGGCCCGGGGAGGTCCGACTGGGCTCGGCCGTCTCTACCGGGCGTGACGGCTGATGTCGGTTTGGGGGTGGGGAGGTGGAGGGTAGATGGTGACATGTCAGTTTAACAGGGAGGCGAGCAGGAAAGTGCGTGAAAGGAACTCTGTTGACTTTTCTGCCAGGCCGATTTACACCCTACATTCATGATGTCAGCCTTATCTGGCCTGAAACTCTGAACTTCTGTCTAAAAATATTGTCCTCCGTTGCAAAACCTGCCTTACTGGGCAGACTGTCTTTGCCACAGGAGTGTTACGCAATTACAAAATAACAATAGCTTTGTTTCATAACGCTAATGTCGCTGTGACATGAGTAATTTTGGTCCAGTCTTGTCAAACTTTTTTTTTGTGGCCAAGCAGCAGGTGTGTGTATGTGTCTGTTTATGTGAGCATACACCTGTGTGTGCATACCCTCTGCCTCCAGAGAGACAGCAGGAGTAGGAGTGGCACAGGTACACTGGAAATTCTCGTTGGGTTTGAAGAGGGAGGACACGATAGGGGAGGAACCTTGAGAACAGCATGACAACGCAAACCTTATAAAAGACGGAGACACACCCGGCTTATAGCTTCAGTTAAGCTCGCCTCTCAGACAGCAGCACCTTGCCATAGTCATGCTCAGCCTCATCAAATTGCCACGAGTCTTCACCATCAATCAAGTGCCCAAAGTAAGTTTACCTTCACTCAATCTTTAAAATTTTTCGCTTTTTATAAGTGCTAGAAATTTGAAAAAAGAAAAAATTTCAAAGACAAAACTCAAACATGCAAAATGTTGAAAAAGAAACAAACCGCTTTTATATTTGAGAAGTCCTAGTCATGCATTCTTTGTTAAACTCTCAGAAGAGGTGAAAACAAAATTGGTCTTCTCACATTTGGGCAGAGCACTAACTGCAAGTGTTTCTTCATTGAGGTTTTCCATGAGGACGGCATTATTACTGGGTACCGGCACCCCCGGAGCTCAGCCACCGACTGCATCCTGAGCCTCTTCCAGATGACCAATGAGACGCTCAATATCTGGACCCATTTTCTGCCCACCTGGTACAGCTGACAATTTTTTTTCTCTTGTTTTTCTTTCACTGCAAAGTTGTTTTCACCCCCCTGCTGTGCGCTTGGAAAGATTGACAACATGCGACACACCTGACAGAATTTAGATTCAGCTGGCAGGTGGTCTGGTTTGTACACGAGGTGACAGCTGAGCGATCAAGTACAGTCTTACATCATAGTTAGTGAAGTCTTTCTACTATTTTCTCCGTTTACTAAATAAAAATATTAATACAGAAGCAAAGCCGAGCAGAAAAGCAGTGCTCCCGGCTGTGCTGACAATAAAGGGGCAGCAGAGAAGCAGCTTTTTAAAGCAGAGAAGAGTGTACGTGATTTTACACTCCCTCCTGACCAGCCTGGTCGGATTCATGAAAGAAGGAATCTTGCACATCTTGTAAAGCTCGTAGGACTCGAAGTTTTCTAGAATTTTCTTTGAATATTTACCTTATACCTTCGTGGCATTTTCTGCAGTCGGACCTAAGTCTCATCACCTCTATCAGTACAGTGTGCTTGGAATTCATGTTATGTGCACGTCTTGATGGAGTTCAACAGATGGCAGAGGATCAGTGGCACGTTACAGTACTAATACAAAAAAAATAATAATGTAAAAGTAGTGTGGCCAGTTTTCACAGAATGGAGATCAAAAGGCTCACGGGACCTGCAGCTTCAGCAGCATCTGTTTGCACCGACTTACGTAACACGAGGACTGAATATACACAGATGTTTGTTGTGATTTTAGCAACGATGCGGGTCCCCCATCACCGTGCCTCCCTGTCACTGTCATTTTGCGTATGACGATGCTCAATCTTAATATGAGCCTGTTTGTGTTTACACAATTCATTATCAGCACTGTCCTGTTGACCAAAATTTGTGACTATTTGGGACGAAGGAGGATTACAAAGCTTTCCAGACAACAGACAAAGAAGTTTTCAAATTTGTAAAGTTGATCAGTAACTCATTAAATCTAGTTAGCTCATCATCATTCATCCTGGCATTTACAGAAAACCTTTCATTTTTCTATTTGAGCATAGTTATGATGGAGACTTAATGTCCTTTTTTATACTCAAGACTCAAGTGTAGATGTGGTTTCAGCATGAGCTACACTGATTAGGCAGTGCGTTACGTGAGGGAATTACTAAAATCTGAAAACTGCGATAAGGAATCCAGTCTGACGACTGTGTGCAGTAATTTAAGCCTGTCCAGTTTAAAGCCTGTCAGTTAGCACAACGATAAACCCAACGTAAGAGTTTGCATGACTAACAAACAGAAGTAAAGGTGTACAAAGAAAAATACCGAGGACTCTTTTCTAAAGTAGTTTTGGCTCCTCGGCCTCCTAAACTTGCGATTCCTCTCTGTCTCTTTGACAAACGTGACTCTGTCCATGACTTGTGGCAGCTCTGTAGCTAACGTCTCGATGCTGTTCTTGTTGTGTAAGGATTTAAAGGTACTTCAGAGGCTTCTTTTCCCAGTAGTCGCTCTGCACTTCCTTCCTTCGATTGCATGGGTGGTTGTGAGTGTCTTTGTGTTCAGATAAGCAAAGGACACATGGGTGTTGGTGTCCAGGGGCTCTATGTAGACCTAGGTAGTAATGAGCAGATCTGTGCTGAAGACTTTTGCATAAACTGCCACAATTAGTTAACTGCTCGGTGATGGGAAAAGCACGAGTAATGTTGATTTGTTAGTGAGGCGCTCTGAGAAGTCGAGGCAGTGACTGCAATACACAAGGCAATACAATATCCTCATGATAGGATAAAAGTGTTTGGAAAGTCAAGTCAGCTGCAGAGGTAACTGCCAAATACATCATTTTCTGAGTAATAAAGTACTTTTTCTACACTGATAGGTGCTACATACAACTTTCTGCTATTATATGTAGGTTTTCTGGCCTCCTTAATGTTGCTGTGTCGCTTCAAAGCACGGAGCCAGCTGGACGTTCCGGCTCCAGTTAATACTTCTGGACACTTAAACACTTATTAGCTTTCTTGCCTTGAGGAAAAGTTTGACTCTCAGGTCTGTGTATAAAATATGGAGCTAGACAGCATAGCGCAGAGTACAGACTTGAAGGGGAAACAGCTGGGATGTCACCTCGTAGTCCTTGAGACTTTGCTTTGTGGTTCTTTAATCCTTCAGCAAACAGAAATGTGAAAAATGACATTCAGTGGTTGTACAGAAAGCCGTGTGAAACATGGGAGCCAACGTGTGTTTACTGTGCTCACAGCTGACATATAGAGTATATTATTTCATATTTATACGTGACCACAAATGGTATGACCACAGTGAATTCAGCGCTGAGCAGCTTACTAACAAAACAGAGCAATGATAGAAGTTGGGTTTAGTCATCGATGCGCGTCTTTCAGCTTTGACTGCCAGATTATTTTTTAACCTTATAATTATCAGTTAGCTACAGTGCTCTTTAGTTAATAATTAACCTTTTCCATGTCTGACGAATGAAAGGAAAACCCCACCTAAAGTGTCACCCTAAACAGACTCAGAGCTCTGTTTGCCACGGCTGGAAAATCTGCCATGTTTGTTCAGCAGCATTGATTTGGTGACTATAAAAGCCACAGCATTCGATTTATATCATACCATCAAACTATTCATTAGACCTTCCCGTATGAAAGCACGTGCATCGTGTTTCTCCGTTTCTTCTTCCTGCAGTCTGTCTGTGCACACAGCCCTTTTTGTTCTGAGTACACCATCAAATAATCACACTCCAAAACTAAACGAATTAAAACTACTAAATACTCCTTATAACTAGACGCATCTGTCATAAGCATGTGCTACATCCATTCTGATTTCATCAACCCAGTTTTTCTCCCGGCAGGTACTTCCTATGGAAACTAGTAACGGTGGTGCTGATGCAGAAAGCGTGGCAGGACTCCTTCACCTGGCCCATGGTGATCTTCCTGTTCACCTGCTGCATTTATCCACTGGCGTCGAGCTGCGCTCACACCTTCAGCACCATGTCAGTGCGGGCACGCCACATCTGCTTCTTTTTTGACTATGGCTCTATCAGTTTCTACAGCCTGGGTAAGTGAAAAACAAAAGCTGTTCGAGGAAGATACACGATGGGTGAATTTGTACTTCTACTCGAAAGGGGCAGGGACGTCCACTGCACAGTAGTGGGTCCACTACATGTTCAGTGAAACCAATGTGGATTCCCTTTTCTAAAGTTCAGGCGCAGTCTAAACTTATGGTAGTTTTCCAGGTCAGATTTTAATGGAATTATGGAGTGCTGGAAGACTAGATTTTCATGCTTATGGTGTGCTCGGCTGCAGGCTCAGCGATCGTCTATTCAGCTTACATTTTCCCCGACAAGTGGGTGAACAGCTCCTTCCACCAGTCCTACATCACCATCACTGTGTTCAACACCGTCATCTGCACCATCCTAGCATGCTACTCCAGGTAAGCAGAAAAAATGACTTTTACATCCCTACTGCTGATGCTGTTCCTATCCTAGATTTATGCTTTTATTATGCAAGACGAGGTGTCTGTACTATGCAATTTAACATGCGAGCCTTCTTAACAGCAGATGGCTTCACTTTGTGCTTTTAACAAAATTTTCCAACTGAAAAAAACATTACGTCCCCAGCTCAGAATCAATTTTTAACTGATTCAAGCCAATCTAAAATCTAAAAGCTCATCTTATGCAAGATGAATAAAATATAAGTGCCTCACTGTGTATGAAAATGAAGGGGGGGGAAACAGGATAGAACCTCTCCATTGCATAAGAGTGCAGATACAATAAAACTAACAACAGTAAAGCTTTTTTTTGCGGGTGCATGGTGCAGAACTGAGCACAAACATGCTGCAGGTCCTTTTTAGCCTGTGTGACTGTGTGTTTGATCTAAAAGTTTTTGCCCATTTAAAGCTCCAGCTGTGGGTGAAACTTTGAAATGGAAAGCTTTAGAGGAGTCCTCTGAGAAATTCAGTTAAGATCTAACATTTGCATCTTCTCATAATAACACACTAAATGCTTTTTCCTTTTCCCATGCTATACATAACGCTGTATAGGCGAACATGCATGTTATCGTGTCGTCATTAGCACAGTAACACTTTCTAGGAAGCATACAGTTACGCAGTCAGTGTTTCAACTCCAGCTGAACTAATAAGAAGGAAAATATGTTTATAGCAGTTGGGAGAACCTGGTCCAGGACAACATTGTAATGTGACAACTAACAAATATTTGTCGTCTTTGTATCTCGAGGTTGTACTTGAGTACATGAGTCACGTAAATCTTGTCAAACAGCCTGAGCACCGTGTCTGGTAGAGCACAATGGTGGGCGTGGCTTACATCAAAATCTAGATCATTCTCAGCGACTGCAAATCAGAACTCTTGGAAAATGTCAAGCTTGCTTTGATCATAAGAGGCAAAACACAGTATTCACTTTTCCACGTTTTCCATTTACAGCAATAATCATATTTATTACCTTTATGTACTGGAAAATGTTGGCTTGGTCTAGCTAATGATTGTTCTTTCACTTATCTCTCCCACCGCTAAGGCTTGGCTTACCATTTCTACAGTATAATCACGACATCATTAAGAGGTAAACAAAACGTATTTGCTAACAATCTGCTCCTCCGTCTCGTTTATCGTCCTCTGAACTGTATTTTTCATTACATTGTCATTATTTAAATGCAAGGTGCCTACGTAAAACATGCGAGTCATCTATTTAAAGTATTGACAAGTCTTCGGACACACCACAGTAGGTGAATGGAATTTCGAAGGTGCAATTGAGCAACTTGCTTCTTAACACAACTGTTGTTATGTATCTGTAAATGGCGTGGTAAATGGCCTGTATTTGTATAGCGCTTTTCTAGTCCCTAAGGGCCCCAAAGCGCTTTACACAACCTGTCATCCACACATTCACACACTGGTGATGGCAAGCTACATTATAGCCACAGACACCCTGGGGCGCACTGACAGAGGCGAGACTGTAACTATACGGACCAGCCCTGAACGCTGACTGACTCCAAGCACAGTTTCAATTGGAGCAGGTTGGAGGAGCTGACACACAGGGCAGCTAAACGTGTTCTGTACCAGCCTGACTCACTGACTCAAAGTCAATCCTGGCTTCACGCAACAATAGGAAGGAGCGTGCACTGCATTAACGTGCTGCTCAGAAAACATTTCATGGTCCACATGCTTCGTAAATTTTAATATATTTGCGTGTATTTATATTTTGAGTTGTTTAAAGAAAGATTTGTTTTATTATCATTTCTGGCTCATTCAAGCTGTTTTCAGCTGTAATTCCATTTTAATTTATGTTCTGTTTGAAAAATGTAGCAGGTTAATAATCAGTTCTTACATAATGTTTTCATTATCGATGATGATTCTGTTTCTGTTTCTGTAGAGCTTCCTCCACTGAAAATACCTTTCTTTCTTTTTTTCCCCTCCAGATTCCCTGAGTACCAGAGTCCAAAGTTTAGCAAATGTCTTAGAGTCATAGCCTTTGCCTACCCTTACCTGTTTGACAACATTCCTCTGTTCTACCGGGTAAGGCACTTTAAACATCCACTTGCCTCACAAGACACACCTGAAACACTATAAAGCAAAATATGCGGTTAGTTCTAGAGAGGTAACCATACAATAGGTAACAGACTGAAAGCATGTGTGTGTTTGTAATTTTCTGTGCGAGTATCATCTTCAAACTTCTTTGCTACACCAAAAAACACAGCATTTTTTAAGGGTTTTTGACCCTGGCGCTCAATGTTCCACTTCCATTTGTATAACTTAGCTATCAACGCTACCTCAGATTTAACTTTAAAGCTGTTGCTGCTTTAAATAAACAAAAAATAACAATTATTTCCCTTACACAAGTTATGCAGAAGTTAATTTTATCATCACACTGCCTTTGAAAGTTTAGCCAGCAAACACTGACGCGAAACAACAGAAAAACGTTGGCAAATAGCATCAGTAGATGGCTACACAGAAGCTATATAGTACGGGGCTAATATTCCAATACATATTCAATATATTGCTGCATCCTTGGTATAATAATCTAAAATTATGTATGTTACATGGTAAAATCCACAGCTACTACAGAAAAGGGCATAATAAACAGATAAAAATCACTAACCCCTGAAGAAAATATTTTATTATATCATAAAACAATAAACTCCTTTTATTGAAGGCGGTAACCTTCTATAAAATGACGTAACCCCTTCAGTGTATATCAAGAGGAGCCGAGTATTTTCTTTGAAAGACTTACAAAGCAGAAGCCAATTGCTCATGTTTGGAACCCACCTGAATACTTTACAACCAATTAGCTCCCTGTTTAGATACATGCGTTTAACATTTATGATGAAAACAATATCATAAATATCATAAATGTGAAAAAATACTCTTGTTTTTTTCTCAATCTGCGTTTATGGCATGAAAGCAGCTCCACTGGCAGATGCAGAGAGTTTGACCCTCATTAAGAAATTTTGGGGTGTTAAAGTAAAAAACAGTCATCGGCTATTTAACCATTGAAGTTAAAAGCGATTGTGCTGTCGTGTTCGCAGGTGTTCCTGTGTAAAGGGGAGGGCTGTACAGATAACGCTACCAACATCCTCCACTACTACCACATCACCCTGGCTTTTCTCACTGCTTTTCTGTTTGCCACCCATTTACCCGAGCGCCTGGCACCCGGAAGCTTCGACTTCATAGGTAAACCAGATCTGACGAGCACTCTTTATAATTATTAGCATGTTTAGCTTTTTCGGCCTGTTTACTGATAGAGCGTTATCGCCGGTTCCTCTTAGCTGTACATAGTGTTTCACAAAAACCCCCAAAGTAAACCACTGTACACAACCTGCTCAGCACTAAAAGGAAGACAGACAAAGGAGACATTTACAAGCTACTGAAAGCAGAGATCCATGAAAGAACTTTAACTACTGTCTCTTTGTTGGCAAAGATTACGTTAAAAATGCTCTCTGCATCGCTGTATTGTGCTGCATTTCTTGTCTTTTCCTTCAGCATGAAATTTTTTTAGCCTTTTTGAATGGTCAATGTACTATTTATTATAAGTCATTTGTTTTGGCTATTTTTTTGGAATAAGTCTGTGACTTTCACGTCTTTATGGTTTTTGTACTTCAAATAAAGTGAATTTTAATGCTAATTTCTGATCCTAAGGTGAGGTTAATAAGCATTCACCAACACTAAGGGGTAATTAATCAGTGACAAAAAGATCATAAAGAGTTCCAACGGAAAAACATCCTTCAATTATAAACCAAACCAGCATTGAACAAATGTTTGACTAGTTTGACTTAATCATTTTCCAGCACTGCACTTTATTAAGTGGATATTAAAAAGTATTCTCTCTGCTGTGCTACAACAATAATGCATAATCACCTCTGTTTTTTCACATATCCTGTGTTAATGTTGTGTTTCCAATGTGAATCATTTGCTCAGTGCTGAACGTTTGCAGTCTACCTCTTTCCTTTAACAAACACATATCAACTGCTCCCTCTGCAGGTCACAGCCATCAGCTTTTCCATGTGTGCGCCATCCTCGGCACCCACTTCCAGATGCAGGCCATGGAGCAGGACATGACGATACGCCGTTCCTGGCTCGTGGAAAACTCAATCCCCATCACATTTGCCAACTCAGTGGGTCCGGCGCTGCTTTGTGTGGTGTTAAATTTGGTTGTCATCTTCCTCTACAGCCTACCTCTCCTCTTGGGCCCAGTCTGCAAAGACAAGAAGTACAGTAGAGGACCAAAGAAAGACAAACTCTGCCCCCACAGCTGAACCTCCAGCTTCATTGGTCATGGTTTAAAGGGCTTTAACTCATCCAAATCATACACTTTATATGGTCCCAAGACTAAAGAAATTGCATTATGGGTAATATAAATGGTATAACATAGTGAAGGGTGCACCAGATGAGGAACTGACATGATGTTTAAATGAATCACGGTTGCATTTGGCCTTTAATTATCAATGAGATGCCTGCTGCTGTGCTGATAGGCTGAAAATATAGGTGCAAGGTACACAAACATAGCATGAAAATTAACAACGTGTTTGTTAAGTTTCATAATATGTAACGACTTTTAAATGTTTCTGAGGAAACCTGTTTCTACATGAAGCTACAAATGTAGCAGGTTAGCTACATTACGAGGCAGCGCATGTGTGTTTATCTTTTCGCTTCTCCGATTTCCACACTTGTGGTGTATGAAGAGACTGCAGGGAACAAAAACTATGTAAAATACCGTTTTTTCCCTTTCAATTGCAGGTTTTGATGCTGAACTGACAATGTGCCTTTTCATGTTTCTCATGACTGCCGTTAAGTTAAATGTGACATCAGTCAAATAATGCACATCAAACAAATGAAGCAGTTTTGTTCAGGGAGATCAGATGTTGTTTTTTTTTAGTTTAAACTTCAGCTTAATAGACTGACAGTGTGGTCACTGAGCACAGAGCTGATGTCCTCTGAGTCATTTATTTCCCTCAGAATGTCTGATGTTTCTGGTGTTACATTTTCCTGGATTACAAAACAGAGTATTTAAGAACAAAGTTATTTATTATGAGTTTTTCATATAAACTGTAAACTACGATTGTCTGTGTCCCTTTTATTTTAATTAGGAGCATCCTGTTGCATAATGCTGGCACATTAGTGTTTATCCTACAAGTATTTACATCCTATAACAGGGTGACCAGATCCCAACAAACTAAATGTGGGACAAACAGTTTGTTTGTCTGAGAGAAATATATGAGTATGAGTGTGAGACATGTGAGGCCTGGAGTGTCCAACCTAAAAGAATAAACAGATGTAAGCTATGCAGGTCAAATGTGAGGGCCGAATACATAGTATTCATATGGGCGGAGTCATGTGAGCAAAAGCAGGACAGCAACCTTGCTTGCATCTACAAAAAATGGCCTGCTAACACTGATTGCAACTTGTGGTGACTAAATGGTTACCCAGAGGTTGTGGATGTTTTACAGTCACAACCACTTTTGATCCCAAGGTAATTGCACAGGTCGTCTGATAAGAGGCAACTTTTCTGCAAACACTTGTAGCCTGAGTTAGACTGGCTGGAATCACTCTCAGAGAGATTTTCAAAGGGTTGCCAACCACTGCTGTCTAATTTCGAAATGCAGACATGCCAACATGTCGCCAAGACTGCTGGCAATCATGGAAAATGACTCCCACCTTCTTCATAACACACTGGACAATCTGAAGAGCAGTTTCAGCAACAGATTCCTTCAACCTTGCTGTCTGAGGGAACAACGCAGGAGTTCGTTCCTTCCTGCTGCTATCACTCTCTTTAGTTCATCCACTTGGGTCAGACCCACACATACTGCTGTGACAATTCACAGTAGCATTCTTTTCTGGGATTAACAAAGTTTCTCTGATTCTGATCAGTCTGCACAACTCGAGGGGACTCGACTCAACTGCCTGTCAGTTGGTTGTTTTCTGGTTATATACCGATAGAACAGGACTGTTACTGAGCATAACCCATATGGAAAAGATATATATAAATCTTATAAAGTGTGTATCTGTCTTGTGTGAAACTTGTATGAAAAGCATACAAGAGTGAAAACAGATATAAGATCCCTAGAAAAATTATATAAATGAAACTTGTATGTTTTGGATACTTAGTAAAATAATATATGAAAGTGACCACTTTCCTGAGTAAATCATATAAGCCTTATATGATTCACTATATGAAGTAGGCCACATCTGATGCAAGTCTTTTATAAGTTTTTTCTATTTCTTTTCCATATGTGAGAGCTAAACGTGGATTTCTGTCTTTGTGCCCAATAACAGATAGGTGATTTCCAAGGACCCATTCAAACAGACTTATAGTAGACTGACTCCCTCTTATGGCAACATTTGGCAGGTTTCAGTGACAAGCTCATTTTATAACTTTATACAATGTAAAAATGATTTATCCATTAACTTTCTTATTGAATAAATGTATACTGCCAATGTTTAACTGGGAATGTTTGCAATAACACTGTGTAAACAACCATGGCAGACCCAGTGGCATTTTAACCATTCTTTATTAATACTGGATGGTTGCTGTTCACAATACACGTAGAGCTGCAGCTCTCCCGCTGCCCGCTCAACATCACCACAACAACAACGCCAACCACAGGACCCAGTACAATGTTTAATTCGGCGGGGCGTGATTGCGGATGCCGTGCAGGTGCGTCCGCCTCCTCTGCACGGCACCACAGGCCACGCCCCACCACACACTGTATCCCACCTGTACTATTTGGTCACTCCATATCATGATCCTCTCCTGTGTGAAACTGAAAACAATGATAACTTGGGAAAAGCACTGGAAACTGACTTTCACTGACTTCACACACTTATAAGCACTTTTCCAGTCTTGTTGCATTTCACATGTGGTAACTTCCATGATATTCATATTTATTTTGGTCAGAAAATGACATGTTATCCTGCAAATGACCCATGAAGAAAGCCTTTCTGCTTTCTTCACAGCCATTAAAGGCCAAATTTTAGAAAAGTGTCTGCCATGTACTGCTAATTTTTGTATACTACAGCCAATCAAAATAAGAGACTTTGACTCAGAGGGTGGAATGAGGGGACCAAAATGCTGTGCTGTCCCACAAAATTGTAACATCTGGTCACCCTTATAATGCCAGTACCCGAAAGGAGTTTGCATCGTGTCAACATTTTTCCATAATAAAGAGACCCAGTGAGGCCTACTACAATATATTCCAATATAAATGCAACCTTTATCTACCGTTTGTGTAATTCTTCAACCAAATAAACAGATTGCACTAAAATAGGGGGGGCATTGGGTATAAAATGTAACAGAATACAGGAGATCAGGCAGGTGTCTGACGCTTAGACGACTCACTGAAGTGTTGGAAAAAATAAACTGTCGAACTAATTAATTGCAGATTAATTAGAAAAACGAGTTATTTCCCCAAATAGTCACTCTAATATATTGTCACCCAAGTCCCCCTTCTTTAACGTCTCAGGTGTAATTTAATTAAGGTTAATTACTAGTTTCAAAGTTCAGCAATAAAACAGAAGTTAAATGTTACGACATTGCTCTAAAAAATAGGAATGAAGAGGAAAGTCATGCTAAACTTGTGAAAATACAGCTTACCAGAGTTTCGGACCTGTCTGTTTGATCCAGAGCTAGTAACGGAGTTAGGAGGGGGAGAGGATGGAGGCGGGACTTCCGCTGCAGAGTATTGAGATTGGCTGGAAGTTCAGATTTTTGGAAGAACGTTTACAAGAGGGAAATTTTCAAATCGAAAAGAGGCGCTCGTGAGAACAGCGGAGAGGGTGTTCACAAAACAAACAATGCAAAGACCGGGGTCAGTATTATCATCGTTTACACGTCTAACAGTGAACAGGTAGCACATTATAAATGAGAGACGTATTAAAATGACGTTAGTTTACGGTTGTTCTCTGAAAAGGGGGCTTTGAGATTATCGCCGCGTAACTAAAAGCGTCTGGTAACTGCTCAACTGGCTTCCAAGCTCAGATTCAACTCCTCGGCTGTTTCTGACAGTGTTTCCTACACTTTTTTTTTAAACCTAAAGGGTAGCGTGACTTCGGTTTGCTTAACGTTCAAAATATAATATCGAGTAAGGAATAAAATTACGTTACCGTGGTTAGCGAGTGAGAAGCTAACTTGGCTAGCTAGTTAGCGTAATTCATAGGAAGACTCCATTCATAAGAAGACTCCATTCATCATACACGTCAGACCCTCACTGACAGTTTTTTTTTAACCTTCCGCCTACCCTGTCTAACTGTGTAGTTTGGCACTTTAAGCACACGTCTGTTTCTACATAATACCGCACAAGACACACACACGTTAAGATAGGTCGGTTATTCCGTAACTAAATAATGTGTTTGGTGTTGTACTGACACTTCCAGCAAAGGGAAGACTCCTCGGAGGCCTGGGCCAAAGAAGGCGTCCAACACAGAGAGAGATCCTGTGGGAGTAAGTGAACTTATTTACTCATTATTCATGAAACTAAAGTATAATTAATGGAGAAGCCATTACTGTCAAATCCTCTTTTTTTGTAGTTTAGTGCTTTGTGTAAACACAGACAAGACAAGGTGATCGATGTAGTTCTTTACAGCTGCCAGTGCTTGTGACAGATAATTGCTGTTTTTCAAACAAAAATGAGAAAAAGGTGACTTATTTCAACCTTTTTGAGCCCTTTGTTATGACCATGCCAGTTAACTGTTGAGATTTGTTGTCTTGCTTATCGTATTTGTTAGTAAACTGAATATTTGGATTTGTACTGTTAACTGAGCAAAATGGCAAACTGGATTGTTACTTGGACTTGAGTTAGAAAAGCTTGACACATTTTCCCAGTGTTCTGGGGTTTCAGAAACTAAACAGTTAATCATGTGACTGATTGACTTAAAATCTTCTAGTCTAAAGAATTGTTAGTTACAGTCCTGTTGAATAATTTTGTCCGTTTTAAGCTCACAGACAGACTTCAAATCCATATATGTCCGTGAATTACCCTCCATCATGGTGGAGGGCTTTATGTGTTCCAGTGATCACAGGGGTTTTGTTTCTAGTAGGGTCTCCAGACAAATTGGTCCTGCGTGGGCGACAAACAATGAGCTTTTATAAAAAACAACATTTATTGTAGGTGTACTGCCGTATACGGCCCCTTGGATCAGAGGATGAAGAATGCTGTGTTGAGATGATCAGCAGCACCACCATTCAGCTGCATGCTCCTGATGGCCTTAAAGCTAACCGAAATGGGGAATACAAGGAGGTAAGTGTGTTTTATAAAAATGTAAAACAAGCTGGCCACTCATACTTGATTAGTATTCCCCCCCCCCCTTTTCATGAGCTCAGTTTGTCACTGTTAGACTGTGCTGAAAATCACAAAACAATACTGAACCCAGCAAATACCTGAAAGCTGCTACCAAAGACTTTTTTCGACAGCGATTTCATACATTATAATAACTGCTATTATTGTCTCTATTCTTCTTAATACCATTGATGTATGTTCTTGTTTGTTTACCTTTCAGACACAGTACTCCTTTAAGAAAGTATTCGGTATTAACACCACTCAGTTGGAGTTGTTTGAGGATGTTGCCAAGCCGCTGGTAGAGGATCTAATTCACTGTAAAAATGGTAAGTCACGTGACATGTGTAATGTGTACTTTGAAGACTTGCCAAAAGATTACTGCTAGTTTGCCGTGCTGGTTTTCTGTGTGAGTCTCTGTGAGAGTTGCTTTACTGTGATGTTGCAATATCCTACCTACGTTCACCACAGGTCTGTTGTTTACGTATGGTGTTACTGGAAGTGGTAAGACCTTCACTATGACTGGCTCACCTGGGGAAGGTGGTCTTCTCCCCCGTTCTCTAGACATGATCTTCAACAGCATCGGACCCTTTCAGGCTAAAAGATTTGTAAGACTGAACAGTTTTGTTTTTGTTTTGTTTTTTTGCAGAGTGAGGCATTTACTGAAATTACCGAATATTTGTTTTAAACCTCTTCAGGTGTTCAAACCAGATGATAAAAATGGCATGGAGATCCAGAGTCAAGTTGATGCTCTCCTCGAGAGGCAGAAGCGAGACAGTCAGCAGGCAGTGCCCAAAACGCCATCTTCTAGGTAGCTAAGGAGTCATTTTAGTCCACTCTGCACTTTATACTTTCATGGTGGTCACGAGCACTGTTGACATTTGAGTTTAAAGTTTGCATTTCATTGTTGGGTTACTTTTTACCTTCTTTTCTTTTTTTTAGGCAGAAGCCTGACCCGGAATTTGCAGATATGATCAGTCCAGATGAGGCCTGTAAATCAGAGAATGTGGATGAAGACGGTTGTTACAGTGTGTTTGTTTCCTACACTGAGATCTACAACAACTACATCTACGATCTCCTTGAAGATGCTCCGTATGACCCGATCAGACCAAAGTAAGAGATTAGAAATCAACATATGCTTTTGAAACATAACGTCTTGTTAAAAAGCTCTGTGTACAAAGCTACAAAGCTACCAAATTGTACTTGTAAAAACCCTGTTTTTTGTTAGGTGGCTTGGGGGAAGCACGCCTGTGCGGAGCAATGAGTATGTGTATGTGGCCAGTAAAATAGCATTACACAGTACTGTTTTTCATAGGCATAACTTGGCTGTAGCTGATAAGTTGTTTAAGTAATCAGTGCATTCCCTTCCCATTAATCCAGTCGTCTGTTTGTAGCATAGGTGTAGCTTACAGTTTTGTTTTTTTTTTTTTTTTTTTTTTTTTCTCCCGCCGTTGTAATCAATTGGCTCTCTGTCTCTGTAGAGGAAACAGTGTCTTTAAACATTTCAAGCTGCTTTTGTGCAAATGCTGTGTGCATGTGTCTGTACCCCTAAATGAATGTGTATGTCTTCCTAGATTGCATTTTTTTATTTTTTTTATTTAAATAATGGCGCTAACAATTATTTGGCATCTGGCTTTTGCTGCTTTGCTTACTATACCAACATGTAATTGCGTTACCTCACTGGTGCTTGCTTAGAAATATTTTGAATTTGTTGTAGACCACCTCAATCTAAAATTCTACGAGAAGATCAGAATCATAACATGTATGTGGCTGGCTGCACAGAGGTGGAGGTAAAATCAACAGAGGAAGCTTTTGAAGTCTTCTGGAAGGGTGAGTAGAAGTCAGAACTTGAATGTGTTGAAACATTTTAAACAGTGTTGTGTCTGTGTGTTTGTTTTTTCTTATGATGGAAATTGGTGAAATATTTAAATCAAACAGTTCTTATGAGTTTGAAAAGAGTACAGATGCTGAGTAAAATGTAAAAAACAATAAAGTAAGTGGTACTAGAAACAACCAGCTGGAGGAAGACTTTGCAACTAATTATGATATTTGGCTGAAAAAGTAAAGATGGGCTGAATATCATTATCATCAGTACCTGATATCATCAAAAGATTCAGAATCTCTGTGCGCAGGGTATAGGGCTGAAAATCAGTATTGGATGACCATGACTTCTGGGCCGCTACAAGGCACTGGATTAAAAATGGGCATTATTATGTGGTTACAATCCCTGCAGAGGCTCAGAACAACTTTTCACTGCCATCTACAGATCCAGTTTAAAGCCCTATCATGCAAAGAAGCAGCCATATTTGAACATAATCCAGAAATGCTGCCATCTTTTTTTGGGCAGGCCAAAGCTAATTAAAAGAATGGAATGAGGCAAAGTGGGAAAACTCATCATATAAATTGAAATCTGAAATTATTTTTTTTGTAAAATATAAGCTTTAAAAGAGTTTCTATATTGCATGTAAATGGAGAGCAGTGACTTAGATTTTACAATGTTTGTGCCATGCTGGGATTGCTGATGTACAGCAGAACAATTTTGAGCTTCCTGCAGACATCCTCCTGACTACCAGCAATGCAAATTTGTCCTCTGTAGAGGACCTTTCTAAACCTGAATATCTCCCATCCACTGCATACTACAGAATTACCTCCTTTTGGAATCTACAGAGGGCATTTAGGGTTTTCCAATGATACCAAATGTAAAGGGGTGGGCCTTTGGGAACTTGAGTTTTTTAATCAAGGAACATGGCGGCCATCGCTGCAAGCACATTTTATGGGGAGAACAAAAGTAAGTGCATAAAACTTTTCATTGAGCAATTTTTGGCTATAAATGTTAGCATATTTTAGATAAGGCTCTTAATAACACATTAAAACATAGTATGCTTAATTCTAACCTTTTTAGTATAGTATTGAAGTGTTTAAAAAATGTCCTCCGTAGTGG